GCCCCCGCCCCCACACCCCTCCTCACCCCAGAATTCTCCGATTTTTCCAAAAGTGTCGTTGAAAGGACACGGGGGAGGGATGAGGTTGGAGGGTTTATAGCGCACTTGAAGCAGAAAAAAATCTGAGAGTAGTTAACAACCGTGAAATTTTTTTCTTAGAAACAAATACGACCTCTCTCTCCAGCGACCGACGACGACCTCTCTTCCATCTTGCTGGGAATCCCAACGTCCTGCCTCTACGGTCAAATACAACTTCCTCGATGGGGTTCACACAGCGAGAATGGCGCAGCTAGGGTGGCTGTTTTGTTCTACCGTGTGGTACGAATGCTGGCGCAGTTCGGCGACGGGGAGGGGCATGTGCACTTTCACTGCTTCACTAGTTCCGGTTTACAAGTCCTACTCTGGTAAAACGTGTGAACTCTTGTGAAGCTCGAGCAGGCTCGTCGAATAGCCTTCGTAGATGGTAGTTCCATGGTAGTTATTGCTTTAGAAGAGTTGACAGGTGGTCTCCAAAGTTTTGGGTAGTATCATTTCGTGGCACGAGATTTCACAGGTCTCCAGACCTAATGGCTCGACACGTCACTGGGAAGTGGCAAAAGTGCAAAAATGCCCCTTCCAAACTGAACAGCGCCGCGAAGTGTTTGTATGAGATCTTGTTTTCCAAAAATATTGCTCAGGCTGGGGGCTATGTGACGTATGAGGCTTGTAACTAGGCGTCAATTGTGGGACGAGATGGCAGCATAAGTGATTAGGCCATTATTGCATAAGCTGAGCAAACAGCCATAATGTCGTCGCATCACGAAATCGCGGCCGACATAGTATATGGAGCATTGTCATGCAGCTTTCAGAATTCATTATGGTGAAGCAATGCGGGCGGGCCCTGTGATTGCTGGCGGCAGCTTTACCTTCATTTCTCGATAAACCAGATTGGTTCCGTATGCGGTCGTCATCATCAGCCTGCGGACTATATTTAGCCCTCGCGAAAAGGACAATTGAGGACAATTGTTCTTCAGGACAGTGTAAATGGAAAATGCTCATCGCAGATTGCGCGATTAATCGGCTTTGGTCAACAATTTGACTTTTACACCACCCAGAGGCCTCTGAAGAACCCATCTCAAACCATATTTCTATGGCTTTCTAGTAATGGAGGAATGATCGGCGTTGAGATATGAAGGGTTTAACCGCGAGTAATCTCCTCAGTTGCCCTAAAAACCACTGAAATATGGTTTGAAGTGGTTTTTCAGAGGTCCCTGGGTGGTGTGAATGTCGAAATGTCGAACAGAGGGCGATTGATCGTGTGATCCGCGTTGATCGTTTTGCATTTCGGCACTCAACGTAGTGTTGGCTGGCATGCCGTAATGATTTCTCATGGTCCGAAGAAAGGGTTGTATGCGACTAATATATGACTGTGCGTTGGCGAAGCAGCGCCTCTTTTTGTGGCTAAACGACGAGGAGCACCACTGGGCGGTGGAAGTTACTGTACAGAGGTCGGCGCCGATTATTAATAGTCGTGCGCATTGAGCCGCTGTATCCATTGAGTTTGGCGGCGGAAGGGAAATGGTATTGGCTTTGGTATAGCTTTCGATTCAAGAGATACGTGGTTCGGCTCAGTTGAGAGGCGGCACTAAACTTCAGTTCCTTTTGCTAGTTCATAGTAATTACTGACACATTGAACGTGACGCTTTGGTTCCTGTGGGGATGGAATACGGTTTGAGTAGCTTTTGGTGCAGAAACTGCAGGTCCTCCCAAGGTAGGCCTGAAAAAGTTCTAGAATTCCATTTGGTGGCCCACAGCCGACTGTGCCATTCCCGGTTTAGTAAACTGATCCCCTGGGAGGATCACTCGAAAAGTAATGTTAGAAAAGAACTTGTAAATGGGATTTTGTATTGGCAGAACCGTATGGACGGTAGTTACTTAACAAGCCCAGCTGGTGGGCCAAAGATAGTTGGAAGGTGCCATACGGCGACGGGAAATGCCATGTCATGGCCACTTGTCTTGCCGCTTCAAGAGAGATGAAGAACGCGTTGTTCGCTCGAAGGCATTTTTCTGGTCCCCAATGATCTCCGCCCATGTCTCCTGTAGAGATCTGTATCTGTTTGGCTGCACGATAGCAGGAGTTCTTTACACTTGACAAGGGTCTGGCTGTCCCAGCAAGGTGTGACGTGCACATTAACAGGAACTAGCGAAAGAGCAGAATGCTCCTTCCTATCCGAAAAGTGCTAAAACGTGCACACCCATTCTGAGGCTTCGAATAGACTTGGCAAGACAAGACATGGTCGCGCTAGCGATCCGTGTGCTATCTTCCCCGCCGCTGGAACATTTTAACTGGTCTTCCGAGAACGAACCGGCCCACCTATGAAGTATATTTATTAGAATAGTTTGGAGGGTGTCATGCGGCGGTAGGCTGTCATGTCTGCTTGTCTGATCCCTCTCACAGAAGAAGAAAAACTTGTGTGCCCATTGTATCGCTTCGAAAAGAGGTGGAAGGACAAGGCACGGCGTAGTCTCGCTTCCACTTGGGACCTTACCTACCGTTTTTGCCCACCCCCCCCCTACCTACTGGGCCTATGTCTATGTTCCCGAGAGCAAATGCTCGAAGTTCGCATCTATCAAAAGCTTTGATGCTCACAACAATGATGCCCCAGAAGAGTTGGTTTGAGTTTAAGAGTGGCCGTCTGGCGGCATGATTACCCGATTATCCGTCACCATGAGTAGTTGTTTTGTGTCCGTCAGTTTATCTCGTTTCACTAATCCCATGGGTCCTTCATCCCTCAATACGAATCATTCCGCTCGGCTCTTATCGCTGTTTTATTAATTCCGCATGTTGCAGTCGCATTGAATCGCTTTATAGCCATCCGTAATGCTTTGAAATGCCTCGCTTAGTCCCACGTTACGAGAAAGTTTCAAATGCCCTCAATATGAGGAAATTTGAAGAAAATCGCAGTTTGCCTTGGTGGGGGCATTCTGCATATTCTCATCGATCACTGCTGATGCTCTTCCTGCGGAAACCTGTAAACTCCTGTCAAGCTACGCTGAAGCGGAACTTTGTTTGGCTCTTGACAAGAACTTACAGGTTTTACCAAGATGAGGCGTGCAAGAAAGGAACTAGCGAAAGTGTGGAGTGCCCCCCCCCCTGAGCCGAATAGGGCCAGAGGAAAATCCGCAATATGGTGCCCGCTTGTCGCAAAACTTCCATTCGGAAAGGGTTGTTGTAGTCGGTAGTGGGAGAACAGTGAGTTGTGAAGGTGCCGTATTGAAAGGAGTGACGGTTGAGATGAGAAAGAGCAGTTGAGCAGCCGCGCGTTTGAGGAAGCGGCGCGTTGTTCCGTTGCCGACAGTGGAGAAGCCAAGTGCCAGCCGTAGGTCATTGTTCTTGGCGAATCGGTTGCGCTTTCGGCTTACCACGACTTGTTACATCAAAAGCTTAAGCCGGCTGAAGTGTTGCGATTCCCGCGATTCTTCGCGAAGATGAATCCCAGAGATTGCTAAGAAGGAGAAAATGTTCAGAAAATTGTTATATTAATGTGGTTTAGGATCCGGAAGTACTGTACGCATCGCAATTGGAGCAGCTGGCTGGAATGGGTTTCTCGAATAGGGCTCAAAATATCGCTGGTAAGCCTCACTTTCTCGTTTGTTTCGTTTTAATAACTGCTGTTTCAACCACATTTCGCGGTGTGGAAGTTAGCTTCAATTCCTTTTTGTAGTGAAATGGGCGCTGTTCGGCTCGGCGGGGCATTTTGTCGATTCCCATTAATCACGGCCTATGATACCTGTGAAGACCTGTTAATTCCTGTCAAACTGTGCAAAAGCATGAGCTTCATTTGCTTGGATTTCGGGCAAGGGCTAGCCAAATGAAGTTAGAGAATGCGAAATGCCCCCTCCAAGTCGGATAGCGCCGTGAAATCCTAAAGCAGGTGTGGTTCAGGGGTTCTAGTCCAAAATAGAGGGTTCCTAGCTAGTTGGCTGTACACCGCACATTATCGCCGATCAGTTGGGTCATGACAGCCTACGTCCTACACAGTTTTCTTAAGGGTTTCAGAAGTGACAGATTATTTTCAAGTTTTGGAGGGTCACTGTCAGATCACCTTCATGATGGCAGCGTTTCAATTGTATAGAATTCAGCAAATGTCACTAGCTATTCCTCCCGAACTCAACAAATAACCTGACAATGAATCTATTAGAATCCAACACTTGAATGGAAGCAAAGTTAATGTATTAGGTTGGCGGGAAAGTTCTGTCACATTTTTTCAAACAAGGCTTTCTTTTTATAGAGAGGCGTACAAGATCAAAATTATACAGCAATGTCATTGCGGAATCCCTGCCAGTTTTCGAGCACTTCGTGGATGCCATCGCTTCACAATGGAGGCTGGCACGACGCAATGTTGGACATCATCTCAACTTTGACTTGGGCTCAAGTCGTGGAGGTTTTCTCGGCTGTGCAACGGTTGAATACAGGAGTTGACTAGCAGCCAGAAAGAGCAATGTCTGGACTAACTATATTGCGCAGGGCAGCCATTCCAGCTCCATTGCATTGAAGTAACGGCTCGAATTTCTTTTGACGGGGTGTGCTGCACCAGCACGTTGAAGACGGACTGTGCCGATGGATTTTGCCCTCTGCTTGACGATTCGCTTCAGATCTCGTAGCTGCCTTGCGTACGGATTAACCGAGG